GGGAGAGCAAGCAGGGTGTTTTGGAGGGCTGCGGCCTTGCGCTGCCCCCCCAGCACAATAGCTCTGGCGTGGCTCCCGATTTGGATCCAACCATTATTCGTTGTTCTGCCCTCGGAGGCCCGTGAAGCTAACACCCTGCTTTCTCATGGGCCAACTTGAACGGTACCACACAGAGCTTCCATTAGCCCTTCTCCTGTCAGAAAAGCGACTGGCCGCACGTTGTGCATGCGTTCCTAGCCATCGGATCTGGCTGGCAGGAAAAGTTTCACCTTACCGGGGCGGTGGGTGCAGCAGTCAAGGTACCGGGGCTAATTCCAGGGATCAGGAATTGTAAGGGCGATAATATCACAAAGGGCCTCAGTGACACGGCCAAAATGTGCTCAGGTAGGTTATTCCTGTCATGTCCTGCTCCAAGCCGAGTCGGCGGGTTTCCCGAGATAGTTTGTCCTGGAACAATGAGCACGTCGTGGCCAGTACCCCACTACGACAGGCCCCAATTCCCCGCAGGGTTATGCAAGCGAGCCAACGCAGACGGCGGGAGACCATGCGCAGAAATTTGGACAGACCCCAGTGCAGTATGCCTTCGGCTGACGAGAGCTGGCCAACGCTGGCTGGCTGCCGTTGGCGATCCTGCTGGAATAGTCTGACGGAATAATGGCGTTTCGGTCGTCTGTGCTGTTGGCCTGCTGCGCCCTCTTGCGAGAGTGGCAGACGCCATCCGCGAGTGGGCGAAAAAGGGTTTCGTGCATTCTTAGCTCGGTCAGGGTTAAGACGCTTGCATGCCCCCCAGTGCACCCTGAAGCAGAAGACTACGCCGCCCTCTATTAGTTTGTCGGGGCGCAGGAGCCGGCAGCGAGTTGGACATTATCACTCTGCTGCATCATCTCCAATTGGAGAGCGGCCCTGAGCAGATGTCTTCACATCGCTTGGGAGCTCCGAACGACGTGGCCAGGGCAAGATTGATGTCTCCCGCCACTGCCAGCAACTGAGGCCTAGGAACCCGAGACACGCGCGGATTTCGTATCGAGCAGCAAGTATTGCCACTGAAGACCCTGAGTGCACGGTAACGCATGGGAGAGCCGTGGGCCCATCGTGATACCTTTTCCTCCACATACTCGTGGACGCCGTGTAGCCTTGTTTGTTCGACGGGATCTGCCTCTTTGTCCAGCATGCAATCCACGCACGAGTGATCAGCACAAGCCACTGTTTTATCTCAATATTTACAAACCACTATGATTATTGAGGGTCTCAAGGAGTCTATGGCCACTTTCCAAACTTATAAGCGATAGTTCTGTTGTATCCCCAGCTGTCTAACTGTAGAGTATTGATAAGGACTCTACTTATCTCGAGGCTCCGCGAGAAGACCAAACCATGTCTCATCTGGCAATCATCAACACACCATCGGGATATCCGGAGTGGTGGGATGCTGCGAAGCCACAGAAGTGGAAAAGGGAGCTGCAGGACATCCAGTGGCACCAGCCGGTGGCTGAAGGCCGTTCCGAGAGGCCTTTCCAAGCGCCCACTGCATCCTTGTTCCCACCCTGGTGAGAGGCGGCCTGCCCAACCCAGTGACCGCAGTCTCCAGATTCGATCAAAGTATTTGGATCCGAGCCAACGCCCGGGGACTGACATGGCTGCTGGCCTGCCGCACCGTGCAGGACGAACCCTGAGCCCTGGCCTGGATGGCAACTCGGTGACCAGGCCACCCATGATCATCCTCAAGGATTGGACCAGTGCAAATTCTAGACAGACCCCCTCACGGAATAAACCCATCTCAGAGGCCAATGTCTTTCGGGAAGACGAAGAACTCCAAATATAGCGATGACCTAGAGTTCGCAATTAGTACTCAAGATCATTAGAAACTTGATGGTTCAACCTGGCCATTGGAGGCTTGGAGCCATCCCAACCCTTTGCCATGCCATCTTCGCCTCCACTGAGACGAGTTCCACGAACGGGACAAGCGATGCACGATGGTGCGTGAAGGCAATGCTTCGACGTGCGGCGCTGCCGTGAATATAGACGAGGCTCTGAATTGTGATTTCGATGTGCACGACTGCGAGGTCTCGGTGTCTTACACACTGGCCAGCTACGCTCCCCCACCATCCAAGACGAAATTCCTGAGTTGTGGGCCGCGGTTCTGAGCTTGGAGTTGCTTGTAGTGCGCGATGAAGTCTCTTTGCCAAGCCGGCCAAGCCGGCCAAGCGGTCGAGTTTCTCGGTTTGTAGGAGTTTTGGATAGATGCCGGCATCGGGACCTCTCAACTCGACGGATCTGGCGAGTGCTGGGAGATTTATTTGCGTCGTTGGTCTGAACATTCCAGACGACATAGGGGACCAATACGATGAATTTTTTGAATTAGTGTCTAATAACTATGCAATTCTATGAATAGCCCAAAGTCAAAAGATAGATTGATGACCTGGTTAATATCCATCTTGCCAGTGTCACTAGTCGAGTAGCCCAGAATTTCTCTCTGTTCGCTTATTTTCAACCCCCTGAGACAAGCGAAATAGGGGGTGAGTTAAGCGACCCATCCCTCCATAGCCCGCACTTGCCCTCAGACAAGAGAATCACGAGAGAGAGAGGCAAATCAAATCACTAACTTGAGTTGAGTTAGTGGGATACCGTTCAGTCCATTGCCTTTACAGCCTGATCCACTCCCTTCACAACTCTTATAATTCTCAGAACGATCTGATACATAAAACCAGAGGTGCGTCCACATAGACTCAAAGAAGGTGAGTGTCTGCCGAGAGCGTGACATATTTCTCACTTCCTTCGGTCGTTATTTGGTAATTTTTTGTTATTGTATGAATGGTTAGAGCAGGGCTAGTTATCGCAGTTGGGCCTCGGGATCTCCTCACCTGTCGCACATATTATCGTCAGTTCTTTAAGTTCTTGAATCAACGTGCTCTCCCTCCACTTACTTCTCGCATTGCTTCATTGCATTATAGACTACCTCAAGATACGATCTCATAGCACTAGTATGCGCTCGAACTGCTTCTTGTTGATTGGAAGCATGGCGATATTGGACATATGAATGCTCTGAGTCTGTGAGGTATTGATTGATTCGATACGCAGCAAGCTCGCGTTGTTCGGCTTTAGTGGAGGTGGATGATTTAGGAGAAGGGGAGTCGCTGAGACGATGTGTCAGTCAGGGAGTGAGGTGACGGGATAGAAGTTTCTCCTCGAGGATAGAGCCAAGAAGAGCAAAGAGAGGGATATCTTGGGAGATGATACCTTATTACGGAGCCAGCCGCGGCACAAGTTGACGATGGATTATGAGGCATTGCAATTGAAGGGGTAATGTGTCGAGCTGATATGAATTTCTTGAGAAAGTAGGAATCTGACTGGACACTGAAGGCAAAGGGGGTTATGATTAGAAAAATAACAAAAAAAATTGTTAAAACTCAGAGTCAGTATTAGCGATACATCAATCTGGAGAGGGGACGGAGCCCTTATATACAATACTGACTGGTTTTGCGCTGGAAGAAAAATCAATGATCCTAAATCAGCGTCGGCCAGGAACCCAGCCCGCTCGGAATGTACCCGTACCGACAAGCCATCATGTATATTTCAACCAGCACATGGCACGGGCTGGTGGCCTCAGGGGTCGTCTCCAGATGGCGGAGACAGTCGGTTCTCGAATCATTACTGGCGAACAACTTCTCTGCAGATTACCGCGCATCCAAAATGGAAGAGTTCGCGGCTTGCTCAAATCCAGTAGATCTCGGAAGGAGCGAAAGTGTATATCAGCATTCAGCCTTACTGGGCAACCCCTGGCCTGGCGCGACTTGGCGCGGTTCGGAATGTTCTAACTGCGTTCAAAGTCGGCTAATACTTCTGAGCAAGAAACAAAGTTCAGCGCCTTCCGCGTTCAGTTGCCCTGTAGTCCCAGGGGCTTAGCGGGATCTGAACCTTCCGGAGAAAGTCCCATGGAGCTGACGACTCTGTGCGACGTTCGTCAGATCCTTCGCCTGGGATTGTTGCAAACAACACCCATCAAGCTTAAATCGTTCCCCATTGAAATCCCCCCGTCCCGTGTACTTGCATCACCATCATCACCCTTCGTCCTGGGCTTCGGCTCAGGTTCCCCAGTGCCGTGAGACTGTGTTTTTGGCTAATGGCAGCCCCGTCTTTGGTTTCGCATTAAATTCCATTTGCTGGTGATAATCCACTGCAGAGGCTCAAAGTTTCAAACTGGGATTCAGCATCATAAAACCCCGATATCCACCACCTAACGATTTTCTCGGGCCCTACAGGTGTATTCTACAAGGTGCCGTACTCCCGAAGTGTTGATAAGATATCCACACGATAATATTTTAATTTTCGAGCCGTGATTGCTATCAGTGAAGACAGGGAACTAGCCAACGGTAGAGCGCACGCGCGAGAAGCCCAGGGTCAGGCTGATTCCGGCGCCGCCTGCGGGGCTCTCGCCCACAGGTGTGGTGCTGCGCAGGGACCTTGGGGGATGAAAGATGCAGCCTGCGGTTATTCCTGCCCGGATAGCAAGGCGGGATCGGCGTTCCTTTCCACACCGGTTCAGAACGATCCGGTTCCAGTGGGCTCAAACCACGGCCCCCAAATTAATGAGCAACATCTTTCGGATGGTCAACCCATCAGACCGCAGGCAAAAGCTGAACTTGGCACCTAAGGTCATGCAAACCGGACTGCTGAAACTTTCACGAGTAGTCAGCCATCACTACTAAACCGCCACCTCCCCCCCCTCATCTTCATGACAGCCCATTAAACACTTTCCTGTTTGCGCTTTCCGGACTGTTCAGAGTACATTCCAAAGAACAACTCTTGAGGTTTGGAATAGTTCTCTTGGCAAGGAGATTGCATTCGTTACAGGTATCGCTTGGGAATTATCCCGTCTCTATCCCTTCATCTTGCAAGAAATCATTAACCACACTGACTTTTCCCTCCATCAAGAGGGTTCCCAATCGAAATTCCAGAATACGTCAAATGCGCCGCATTGATCCCAATCAGCCCGGGACCAACTCCTAGTCCAAGTTCCGAGTTATTGCAATCCTAATGTTCGTTCAGTTCTCAACCCCTTTCTCATTTGAAGTTCAACTTACCGGCGGCTCTTGACCAGAACACTGCACCGTCGTATTCGCACCCGCAGGATCATTCTCCCAAAACTCCGTCGAGTGATGTCGATATCCATCAGCAACCGTAATCGTTTGCGGCACACCATCATTCGCATGTGTTACCCTGAACATCTTTCCGAATGGCAGCACTTGATCAACCATATTTGCATATGCGGGGTTCCCAGTTCGTGGTTGACCGAAGGTGTATGTTGTAATGGTCATCCCAACGCCTACCAAGGAGGGTGAAGCGAGCGACGCGAGTGCTCCACCAAGGGAATGACCTGTGACTGTGAGTGTGTATCCTGAATGGGAGGCCATTTGCGTTTTGATAGCAGCGATGATATCTGAGGAGGCTGAGTTCCATGCCGTCACGTAACCACCATGAACCTGAATCGGGATCAGCAACATCGACGGCAAACTAGCGCGAAATCCCTACCTGACAACCATTACAGCCAGAGATACCAACAGATTCGTAGGGAATCAAAGTTTGATTCAGGTCGACGGTGAAGTCTTGAAGATCTGACGTGCCTCGGAACGCAAGAATCAACTCTTTCGCAGCATCGTTTCTGAAGAGATATGCTTGGGTGTCTGTTGAAGCTATGTTGAAGAAGTTGGCAACTGTTGCTCCGTTGGGTGGAGTTGGGCAGCTGCCTGCGTAAGATGCGGATGCGAACTTGGCGTAGCGGACGAAGCTTTGGAAGAGTTCTCCACTGACTTTTGCGTGCGGTTAGTATTGACCCGACTCTTAGCTCGAAAGTGAGTAAGACTTACTCTCAGGATTCGCGGCTAGAGAGACTTGTGCTAGAACAAAGAAAACGCAGGTGGCAATAGTCAAGAATGGTGAGGAAATCATTGCGAATTAAAGCCTGTGAAATTGATACTGAGGAACTGTGGTCATCTAGTGAGCCTTCGGGGACTTTATATCATCTGAACGCTTCCATCAAAGCTCGCATCGAATCTACCTCGGCTGGTCTATACCAATTAAGTATCCAATGCTTAAAGGAATTCCTCAACGTTTGGCGGACTGCATTGATTTTACTCGCTTTTCGTTTACGATCGCACAGCCGATGCGAAATAGGGGGTAGGCTTAGCGAGTGCGCGAGGCTAGACCCCGCATTTGGGGTTCGGTAGTAAGGGGTCGGATGAAAATCCAGGGGCAGGGTCGCATCACTAACTTGTTGTGATTTAGTGTGGCACGTCCCAAGTTTAGATTCGGAAAGAACCTTAAGCTTTGGACGACATGCGAAGAAAAATGTGCGACAAGATGACGTGATCGTGTTCAAGAATCCAGGTGACTCAGGTAATTTAGATAAGTTGAGAGGCCCACCTGGCCGGCATCGCGGAACTGCCTTTGTAAGAAACAAAACAAACAGCCTTAGAAGTTTCTAGGCTGCACTGTGCACAACTCACCACTTTGCAGTCATTTGATATTCCATTAAGAAATTGAAGAGCATCCCAGTGGACGACTCAAACGATAGCATAAACCCACTTGCAAAAATATCGAGCGTTTGGAGGGAAGAATTGTTTTAATTTGAGTGCACATTTTTCATAACTTCTTGTATACATTTCAGTAGATATCCTCAATTCAAGAGTCTCGGAGTTCCCTCCCAAATCCCAATATCAATAAACATTCCGAAATGTCTTCGAAGTCCTCCGTTGTTTTGAGCATGTCTGAGAATGTTGAACAGCTCGCAGGTGAGGGTCGCTGCCCGAAGAGATTCTTTCTATTCCTTCTAAAGTTCCAAAGCCTTATCGACACCTTTCAGGTATGAGAGTCTTTCGGTATATATACGAGAGCTCTCTTGGGGCGAGGTGTGGCGAGGTTCAACATGGGAGGTGGCTGGGTCTTGGAGGTAGGAGGCAATGGGGGGAGTAGAGAGTTTGTGCTGATCGACGGAGGTAGAGGTTGATGGTGAAGGATTCTGCGGTGTTTGCTGGTCGCGTTCGGTGCATTGGGACTCAGAGGTGGAGGTTCCGTAGGTATGGGGAATGCTGGATAGTTTGATTAGTGATGATAACTGATGGACATGTAAGAGTAATGTAGTAGGATGGTATTGCACCTCTTGACTGAGCCATTCGTGGCGCAAGTGGAGGACGGGTAGGAAGACATAATTGAATAGGGTGGGTGGACGTGGTCCTAGGAGACAGATTTATTGGTCTGGCAGGGCACGTGACCAATCTAGGAAAGGCTAGAAGCACGATTGAGATACGCAAAATATGGTTCTCGTTGGAATGAAGAACGTTTTGAGAAGGGGATGGGAGAGTCATTATAAGCTGCTGGATCTCAGAAAGTGCGAAAGTTGGCTTTCAACATAATTGACCGCGTTGCTCGTGTGATGACTGCTGGAGCCCCGGGAATTTGCCAGATGGTTGCTGGCAGCTGCCATTGCCTTACGAAATTGGGAGTGGGCGCTCTTCTCAACCCCAAACCAGCCTATAACAATATCAACGCAGAACTGACTGCTGTGCGCAAGACGATTTAAAAACGGTTTGGAGAATTGCGAACCATTGCCTTACGAAATTGGGAGTGGGCGGTCTTCTCAACCTCAAACCAGCCAGACGGTGCGGAACGAAGAGACAGGGTGACCATGCATCCTCTGCAATCGCATGCGCTCGCCGGCCAGTCCCCATCGCGCAAGGCCCGCTGCTCCACGCCCGTAGCCCCAGGGGGTGGGAGATGGTGGAGTGGGTGTTGCTGTCTCGCGAATGCGGTAGCCAGCCACCGCGCCACAGCGAATCCAAAGCCGTCGTTAGTTCTCCCAGTAGCCATTCAGCTGGACTCAACTGCCCAGCCCAGGCAATCCTGGCTATAACCCTGCGAATCACTTGCACACTCGGCTGGGCGGTGCTCGCACATGCAGGCAAAACAAAGCTTGGCGAGCATTACCAGGCACTCTGGTCCTCCCCTGGTCGTCCGCGAGAGTGTCCACACCGCGGCTCCTCAAAACGAAGCCGGTCGGCACTTCGAGTCGGCACGTAGGCTCGCAGGGGAGGGGGAGGGAAGGGGGAGGGAACTGGGGTGCGCTGGGAAGCAAAGGTCTTCAGCGGGCCGACCAGCAAAATCGCCATCGTCTCGCCTCCGTTGCCTGCAGGCTTGCCAGCCTGCCTGGCCCAGTGTGTTCGAGTGCCTCGCGTGCACTAGCTACAGCATTGTTCCGGCGAATATGGGACAATAGCCAGCTATATCGAAGTATTTAACCATGCTGTGCGCAAGACGATTTAAAAACGGTTTGGAGAATTGCGAATGATTGCCTTACGAAATTGGAAGTGGGCGGTTTTCTCAACCTCAAACTAGCCAATGACAATATCAGCGCAGAACTAACTGCTGTGCTCAAGACGATTTAAAAACGGTTTGGCGGATTGCGATCTGTCTGCTGTGCATACGGATACGTGGCCACCACAAAGGAGACTCGAGCCCACCGAGCGGCGGTCCTCTGAGTGGCGGGTGCATTTTGCTTGACCGCACCCCTCCACACTTTTCGTTCGTTTCCCCCAATTATTCGACGCAGCTCCTACGACTGGCCATTCCTATCGCTCGCACGGCTACTCACATCCACTGACCTAGTGGCACAGTGATCAGCTGCTTTCAGAACTCCCTTCCATAGTGTAGTTAGCTGGAGACTCCTTTCTCTCTAATCCAGGCGTCCCCGCCGATGCTCCACTTTGGCGTCCGCACACTTGCAGGAACGCCAAAGTGATCGATTGAAAATAATTGTCCATTACTTAGGACCGATTGACTGTCTATCTGAAAATATCTCACGTCGAAGATTGGGAGTATTTTACGCAATCGCCCCGCGCTGGCTTCTAGAAATTACTTGAAGGATATTTGTATAGTCATGATATTCAAAGCGCTATTCTATGTCCTACCCGACATTGTTTCTGTTTGCGTCTGGCAGGCGTCTGTCTGTTATTTTCAATTTGTTCTGATCTTTCTGAAGTTTGCAAGTATATTCGAGCATCTACAGAACCACTATGCAGCCCTTGACCATTTGTTTCAATCTAATTGTTCTTCTAGCCATCTCTGGTGCTTCGCAAGCAGTTTTGGAGGCGCGACAGCACAGATGTTAGAGATCAAATCGATGAAACTATGGGATTTGCTTCGCACAGTTGCCAACTGGCCATTCAGTCAAGTGATAAGAGGGCGTGCCCGAACGTTGCTTTTTGAAAGCGCATCATGTTGCACGCAAGCCAAAGTTGGCCACAATCCTCAGAACGCGTCACGGGCGCATCATTATCTGTTGTCTGAGATCCAGTCAGAATGAGTTTCTAGTTACATCACAAGTACCCTGTTGCAGGTAGAACGAGCCTTTGATAACAGGGAATGCTTTCTATAAGAATTCTCATAACGTTGCTAATACATATCGATGAATATCCTCCGTCGAAGTTTCTGGCTTGCATTTGAAAAATCATGGAGCTTGTTCGAACATCTTCCGAGTTTCGAGTGGTTCTGATTTCTTTGGAGATACTCCGATGCCAGAGTGGTAAGTCATGGTAGAATGTGTTGCCGGTGTTGATCATCGAGATCCCCTCCATTTGTAGTGTGATGCCGTGAAAGCGTCGTGGTGGGGGAAGGAAAATTTCGTGTTGTCGTTGAACATCTCCACGGAGATTGCTGGCTGCAGGTTGATGGGACGTTGTGTCACTCAAATGAGGTAGATTCGTGAATCTGTTGGTGGAGGTTGTCAGTTCCTACATGTCAAGTCTATATGGGCGTGCCCCTACCTTCGAACGGCGCAGTCGTTACCTCATCCACGTCACGTCTTAGTTTCCTTTCCCAGAGTCTATTACTTGTTGCCGCTCAAGGCATTATCGAAGGCTTTTAGGAGGGCCATCTTCTCTGTGAGGATGCGTTTGCTCTCTTCAGATGAGACATGTTGACGTTGGATATGAGAGGCAGTGGGACCTTCGAGGTAGTTGGCAATGCGGGAAATGGACAGAGAATGTTGCTCGGCAGCAGAGAGTTTGGACAAGGCGATTTGGTTTGACAGGGAGGATTCGGCTTCGGGAGGCAAAGGTTCGTGGCTAGGGGTGCTGTGAGATTGTTAGTTCCAACGGTCTAGAGGGTTTTTGAATAATGGAAGTTGTGAGGAACGTGTGGTCTAGCGCATTAACATACCTCTTGGCTGAGCTATAAAAGGCACAATTTGAAGACGCCGAAGCCATAGATGAAGAGATAGGTGTCTCCTGAAGAAGAGGTACAATCGGATTAATGGAATATAAGCACGTGACTAGCGAAAACAGCTTTGTTCAACCTGAAAGAAAGGATGACCCAGGAATCAATCAGACTTCCTTTGGAAGATAAATGGAAAAGGGAAAGGCAGGCCTGGGATATATAGCATAATTCAGTATCTATAGGTGGTGGTTTGGACTTCTGAACTGTGCCCAACAATGCGGAGTTTACCCTCCCGAACGGATACTTAAAATGAGGCGTCTGAGGCAATGGATTTTAGCATGATGTGGTTTGCATTCAAATCATCGTCTTGGTCTTTTCCGAGACTACCTCGCCCATTGTCCGAATACTCATTGGCTCGAGCCTTTCGATCCCTTTGAAATTCTTGATCCTCTCCCACCCCCCCTAATTACTTGTAATTGTGGGTCCTCTTGACCGCTGTGTTTTGATGGTAGAATGTCTGTTCTCTGTGGACCCACTGTTACAAGTGACGGGGGAGAGAGTGCTTTGCACCACATTGCACCCCTGTTACTGTTCAACCTTGAAAAGCCCAGCACCCCTGTACTATCCAGGTCATCATCTTGTGGTGGCCCCAGGGAGTTGGAGCCAGCAAGAGCAGTGAAGATCTGCAATAAAACTCGCTCCAAATGCGTTTCCACCCTGCAAAGCCCGACGGGCCGGCTCCCTCGACGGCAACGGACGCTGGGAGCCGAGCAGTGCACCCTTGTAGGGTCGAATCACTATTGCAACATCAGCTGTGGCTTGATGCAACAGCTGGAAGCGTTGCAAGTTGGAGAGAGCCAAAATCCTAAAATTTTGCAATCATCCCTGCAACACTGTGACACCCTTGTAGAGTTGGATCATTGTGTGTGCGGGTCCAAGATGAGTTGTGGATGGTGCTGACTTGCTCGACAGGACTACGGGGGGGGGCACCTGCAGCAGTCAGGCCGAGTACCACACATTTCAACAATTGTGGCTTGACATTGGACTGGGAAATGCCCTGGGTGGAGAATTGGGTGAAGCCCAAATTCAGAGACACTTGTAACGAGCAACCCATTGGAAGGGTCGCATCACCTCAACATACTGTGGCTTGACTTCGGAGTTGCCAGCGACGCGAATAGAGGAGTCTAGATGCAGGGGCTTCGTTACCTCCCCTGCAATGCCTTGCACCCTGAATCATCATCTTCAACATCTGTGGCTTGAAGAATGGAATCGGAGGAGTCGAGAGTCGAGAGTGGTACGTGGCCACGGTACAGTCAGAGGAGGGAGCCAAGAGATCGTGACGACTCTTGCTTGCGTGAAAGTTTTCATTGAAAATCAGAAGAACGCAAAAGAACGCCTGCAAAAATTTCTAATTAGAATGCGTGCTACTATCCCGTAAATTACCTCAGGGTTAAAGCCCGTCTCAGAGCCTCAATCTCGCACCCTACATAGGGCCAGGGCAACATAAACCATCATAAAGCGAAGCTGTCCACCAATGTCGCTTTCAAAAGTAATTCTCATCTCACCAATCTAGGCCATGGTTTAAGTTTTCTACTCGGGAAGAGTAAGACATCTGTCTGCCGTGGGAATCTTACAAATGAAAGCTAGCGGGTGTATTATTTCATAAAATTTGATAGGGTTCTACGGGAAACCGGTATGTCAAACCCTTGCAAGGCGTCTGCTTGTGCCTTCTGATCAGTCCCGCTTGGCCCCGGGCCGCTGCCGGTGCAACCGCATTCAGGTTGATGTGGATCACATTTTCGAGCTTGTTCATAGCGTTCATGGGGGCGTGGGGTAAGGGAACGCCTCGATCCCCATCTACCACCACCAAATCCAGAATGGAGCTTACGGAATGCTAGGCATGGTTTTTGATCAGCCCCGTCTTTCTGAACCATACGGATCCAGTTTCTAACTGTTCCACCCAACCGATGTCGTCCTGCCTGTGAACCCAAATGGCTGCGCTTCAGGTTCGGATGTCAGATCGTCGGAAATCTCTTTCCACATAAAGCAACGAACCTTGCTGGTCTAGAATTCCAGTCTCGGAAGCGTGACAAGGGTGTCGTGTGGCCGATGCTCACGAGGTTTCTGATTATGAAAGGCTTGATTTCGCATCTCCTTTGGGACATGCTTTTCAGCCTGTCTCTGATCACGCTGGCGTTGCTTAGTGCCGGGGATGGATGTTTGAGGTTGGACCGAAACTCGGCTCGGGTACACGTTGTATTGTCGGGGTCTACGGTGCATCCCCAAATGGACAGCCCGAAAACTTGCGATTATGCGTGTTACCTCGTGATTGAAAAATTCACGAAAGAATCTCCAACTTCTCCCTTGCCACTTGCCTGCCTTTCACCGTTAACTGCCACTTGCACCCCTCAATATACAAATAATCTTGCATTTACGGCGGAGTGAACCGATCGTCAAAGCGCAATGGTCGGAAAGTAAGAACACGAGACGGCGACTTACAAAGCTTTTTAGTCCGTATATTGATGGATACTAGATAGATCTTTATTACTAAGTAACACGCTGTAGACTAGGCCCTATATTCTATCCCTTTCTGCTTTAAGGCTTCTACCACGAACCTCATGGCGAGGTAAAGCTCGCCCTCGAGCTGTGCCGCTATTACTTTCAGCAAAGATGAGGCGAGAAATGGCTCTAATTCAACTCCTAAAGGCGTGGGAGAATTTACGAGGTAGAAAGGTAAAGGAGAATTGGTGGCGTTCAAAGGTGATATCGTGATTTCGACTGCGCTGAATCTTTAATTCACGTAATCGACATACGTAAGATCGCTCGGGCCCTAATTATAAGGACCCTATCGAGCATAAATGGAAATCTTACGTCCTTTTAGCCCTATCCAATTACAACCCTTCAGTAAATGCGCAAAATGCCTTGCTGTGTCATATCCACGGATCAGTGCTTCCCTCCATGAGGCAGACAAATCATCCACCAAAAGTCCCCCGAGGTCGTTTACCTTCTTTTCTGGCACGGGTGGGCAGATGCAGAGAACGACTATTAACCACTCAGCGCCTCGTCTATTGCGCTATGGCGTGCGTGGGCAAATGCAGCCTTCTATAAAGAGAGGAACAATGGTTCCGAGGAAATTTTTTAAGATTCTTCTCGATGTTGTGACGCTGCTTCTAGAGCGACTTTCGTCGGATGCTTTCTTGCGGAAGCTTTGCCGCCGCATCTGGTTTGAGGCGCTTTTGCCTTATTCCCACTAACATTTCATTGTCCTGTCTGAACGGATCCTCCCTTCCTTGTTTCCTGCATCGCTCTCCAACATGATGACATCCCACATGGCGCTACTGGAACGCATGTCCATATTCGATATCGCATATAACTTTGGCACACGATGACACGAGAGATTTTTGAGCCAGTGGAGTTCTTCACTGGCATTTAGTGATGGGAAGGCCACGAACGTCTCCAGTTTTCCCGGTACAATTATTGATGCCTCGAATGAGGCTTGTTTCAGTTTCTTCGTTTAGCCACAGCCCTAAAGAATTACTGTCCAGCCCCCAAACTTTAGGCTCTATTTGGTTCAGCGGCCAGCCTTTGAATTTATTTCAAGACTCCATATGGTTCGGCCCCAGCACTTCATTTTCACCCAAGGCTCTGCTTTAGTTCAACCCTCAAACCTTGAATTTGATTGAAGGCTGTCGTTCAGGGGCTATGGACTTATTAGTTTTGGTTCAGCCTCAATTGCTAATTCGAATTTAGTTCTTGGCAGACATTTCTCTACTTGGAAAAAAAAAACGCGATGTCTAGCCTATGCGTGGTTGATGTGAAGAACTTTGGTGACCCAGTAGTTTCTGTCAGACTTCAAGGTTCCCGGCTCCACCGATTTTTGATGAGTTGCCTAGTCACTTGTTAAGGATGCACTTTCGGTCGCACGGGTTATATTCAACCAGTTCCATCAATTGTTCTCGCATGAGACTGCTGGCAGGGAGCTCTGCTGTTCTTCTGGTGAGTCTCAGCCACGAGAAGTCGGACGTCGGATCTCAGTGAAGCCCGAAACTTCAGAGTCCTCAACCTTGAGTTCAGCCCTAAGAACGGACAAGTAGGGGAGACGTTCTCGCCCGACAATTTTGTCCTGCTGGAAGTTTTCATTCCACCCATCAACGCCTTGCACATACATGAGCATGCCACAGTCAATGTGACTGACTACCTGAAGATTGAGTGTCTGGAACCAAGAAGTGCTCGACTTCCAACATTGTCTGTGTGTCCCTTTTCTTAGGCAGACGCAAAGCCCACTGGGACCGCTTCGGACGATTTTGCGCCCGGGAAAGAATGCCAAAATGGTGTTTTCTGCCACAATAGTTGTTGAAGTCATCAATATATCTTTCTCGACTTATTTAATGTTATTGATTATTGTTTTAATTGGTAACTGTTCTGTACCGCTATGTATTTCCCCTCCTGTAAGTTGCGTTTCCGTCCTCTTGTTTTTCCGGTTTGAGTAGGCCTCGTATTCTGTCGAGAAACCTCATTCCTTTTTCCTTCACCATATCGTTGTTCGACATATAATATTGAACTTAGCATACTAATCGCTCTGCCGGGTTCACTATCATATTTGACGGATAGCGGATAGCTGAAGTGGGCTGACTCTCCTAAAGCGATAGCATCTCCCAGCAAAGGAGCAAACCTAGTTCGGACATGAAGATGCAAGTGAGCTGTATTCGGGAGACACTGCATCGGCAGATCAGTCTGACCAGAGTATGGGATGAGAAGATTCTTGACGGGACTCCATGCTGCCATTGAACGCCGGCTCGCTCCCTCGCTCCCTCGCTCCTTAGGCTGTCGATACGTGTTATCACTAAGTTTTACTTCAGTCCCATACACAGTGTCCTGTAATAGAGAAGACCTTACCTAGTCTAGGAAGGTTCTCCACTTCTTACATTAGACGTTTGTGCTCTTCTGTGAAAGACTCATCCTTTCTTCATAGTTGCTTCAAAGTCATCGAGGCAGGCGGCCATGCGACTCGTGTGGCTGCGGATACTTGCTTCAGTCGACGTGTGTGGGTGCAGTACTTGAGAATCGTCGTCGTCCTCGAGAAAGGCTGCTAATCGAGAAGCAGAGTACTCGGTTTGGCTTACGGAGGAGTTTGAAGTTTCTTCCGGTTTGGCGGTGGTGGAAGTATCGTTACCGGAACCATTCTGCTCTGAGTTAGAGCATATAGCATCGACGTTGTAACCACGGCACTCTGGTAGAGTCGAACTACGATATGTAATTATTAGCTACAGATCCATCATGATAGGAGGAAGAGAGGAGACAAGTTTCAATCAAGGCGAGGACTGTAATTCAAGACTAGTTGGAGATGGAACCCTGTGCTAGTGGTTCATGATATAGCTTCATACGTACTCTACTACCGAGCCATGCGTAGCGCATGCCGATGATGGGTGCGACGAGGGCATTTCTCAAACAGTGGTTCGAAACAGAACAAGCTCCTGGTGGAAATGTGACACGTGATCTGTATTGCGTTTCGTGTGGAAGCTGAGAAAGCTGAGAAAGCAATTTTGATAAGGAGAGGTATAAAAGTTCCTTGGAAAAGGCAAAAGGTGAGAGAGAGGGATCATTGCTTCTTATATGCCAGCTCCCTTTAACCATTAAAAATAACGACGATGGGCGGCATTATGCCACGAACACAGAAGTGAATCAGTGCTTCCGCTGCTCCGCAGCCCTCGCATCTTGAGAAGATCGGAGTCCTTGTCGTTTTTCCTGGGCCCCCATGGAAGCAGAAGTCTTGTGATAGGCCCACGCTTTTCGCTCGTCATAAAACGGGTGGCGGCAGCTCACAGAATAAGGCTCTGGGCTTCTTGACAGTGCTCTCAGGGCTCGAGTCGAGCAGATGCCCACCCTAAGAGCCGCGTTTAACGGGTTGCCCAGATTGCGAACTGTCTGCCTTACGAAATTGGGAGTGGGCGGTATTCAGTGTTTAGTGGAAGAGGTGTCGGCGACTCGGCGAAGGTCTCAGCAGGTAACGTGGTCTGGGAATGGCATCACAGAGCCGCCGTTATTGGTTTGCCTAGATTGCGAACTATCTGCCTCGAGGAAATTGGGAGCATGGTCAGTGGAACGAGGTTCTGCGAGGCACGGGAGAACGCCGAAAGAGCCGCTGTTAAAGGTTTGCCGGATTGCGAACTGTCTGCCTCGCAGCAACACAGGGGTTTCCGTTTAGCTTCGCAATCCCCTCAACCCCGGCCAATAACAACATCAGCGCAATTTCGCTCGATGTCGAGAGCAACGCTATTATTGGACCTGAGTATTCGCCCTTTTGTCGGGCTACTTCCTTGCATTGAGGGTTGCTCGTCATGGGGTGGTCTGGCCAGCTCATCAAGTGATTTTCTTCAGTTGTGTGACCTACATCAGTATTCTTCACTCGGATACATATGCTGCCACAAATTTCTTTGCCAAGTTACTTGAGGCTAAAGGTAGGTTTCTAGGGCACCAAACGTCGCCATCGTTGCTCATACCATCAAGTCTTTGCAATGCCATTTCGGTTGTTCTCGAGGCCAAACATTCGTGAACCAATGTCACGAAACCCAGCCTCAGACGCGCATAACCCACGGAGGCGTACATATTAAGAGCCTACATGAGAAGAGAACGGCTCGAGAAGAAAAACTTGTCAGTAAAAATCAGTGTGAGAAATGAATAGATTAGATTAGATTAATGGCTATTAATCTAATCTATTCATGAAATTTTCTCATTAATCATATTCCATTCACGAATTAATTAAACTAATCATGAATATTCATGAATATCTTGATTAATGTACACGTGATCGCAGCACGTGATAGGCTAACCTAATTAGGTAAGGATCTGGCTCTAGTGCTACTTGCTCCTAGAGAGAAAAGCTCGCTAAGGCAGTGCTAGAGTAAGAACCTTACTTAACTAGGCTAGTGATTATCTGACGCGGTCACGTGTATATTAATCAAGGTATTCATGAATATTCATGATTAATTATTCTAATCTAATCAAATTACATAAGTATCACGTTAATCAAATTCTATTCACGCTATTCATGAATTAATTAATTAATTAGATTAATTTTTTCGCACACTGGTAAAAATGAGGTACCTAAGAAAACTACGAACCAATTGCTACCTTCTCACTTCCTCCTAGATTGTTGAATGGGCAAGAGTGAACATCAATTAGCGCTCATATCAAGTTTCCTACGAACACAAAGTTTTCTGTTCAAGAGGCATCCACTTCAAAATGGGTATTTCCAGGGTTGAACGACAATTAATTCAGTTCATTAAGTCTGGCTAGGCTGAGAGCAGTCTCTTGGGAACTTTATTGAAATGGGAACAATATGGAGGTGCAAAACCGATAATATTAATGATTGACAAGGCCAAAAATGACTAAATACAGGCAGAGTGAAGAGTGAAGCAGAGAGAAAAGTGTCCAAAATATAGTTCTTATCCCTATTAGCCTTTAGTAATATAAGTGGTGCCAAGCTCAATTTCTCCGATATATTACAAATTAGCTAATAAAGCAAATGACTATGTATTAGTGAGCGTTTAATAAGCTCCGTAGTGAAGCATTACAAATGAGAGTGGAGAAGACTAAATTAGTTGGTAAGCTAGCCAGGCTAGTGTACCGATTTCAACAAACCTAGCTTTTGAGAAGTTAGATTGTGTGCACGCGTGATTTCCATGGTATGGGAATTCGCTACGTGCGTCATGCTCTCCTTCAGCTTCGGCTTCGACTTCGGTCGCTACGGCGGTGGTGACCACTTCGGCCGCTTTGGCTGCTTCGGTGATATCTATGACCTTGATCCTCACCCCCGGCCGGCTCCACGTCCTTGGCCGGGATCAGCTGGACCGGCCATGCCTTCGCCTCGTTGGAGCTGCCTTGGGTCAATATACTGATCTTGATGCTGACCAGAGCCAGGAGGTTGGTACTGATATGGATACTGTGCCCAGTTTGGACTCGGGCGTGTACCTTGGATGACCTGGCCTATGGCAGCACTTTCGCAGAAATCGCATCTCTGATACGCAGCAACCTCATACTCGAGAATAATGTTTGGACAGATTTTTCCTGAATTGCCAGGATCCCTTTTGAAAACACAGAGATCTCTGGCTTCTGACTTGCTGCATTGCGTTGGCAAAGTACCCCGGTTTAGGTTGCCTTCACCAGGGCAGTTTGGGTACGTTGTGAAAACTTCGTTACACATGTTTTCTCATGGTAAGTGGACCCTACTCACATTATACTCAAATATATTTCTCACTACTTATACTCTACTGAATCCTCTACTCGAATACTCTAGAATATTCTAGAGTAGTTGAGTAGTACTCACGTGATGTTGCAGTGATATTTCACGTGACAAGCTGGCCTAATTTAGTAAGGCTCTAGGGTAGCCCAGGCCTAGCGCCAGTGCGCTACCCAATTAAGTAGTAGCGAGGCTTAGTAAGCGAGGTAAAACTTTAATAATACCTTTAGGCTTCTTTGGCTACTAGAGAGAAATTCTTCTCTTAAGATTCTCTTATTATATCTAAATTGCATAATAGACTAATAAGAGTACTTTTGAGATAATATCTTATTAAAAAGCCAGGGGTTATTTAAAGACAAATTAAAAAATTAAAAATTAAAATCTAAGGGGAAATATTAGTTTTTATAAAAGAAAAGTAGTATTTAAGTAGCCTTATATATAAGTTCTAGTTTAGCTTATATAGTACTACTTAATAAATATCTTGTTTATTTATTAATAATTAAATAAATATTAACTCACTAGATTTACGTGACTACTTCTGAGTAACTCTAGTATAGTACTCTACTCTACTTTACTCAAGTACCATATTACGCTACTCGAACTCTACTCTACTCTACTCAAGACTGCACTAGAGTAGCTTGAGTAGCTTGAGTAGCTTTCCCCCACACTGTTTGGGACCTTCCATTTTCCACGGTCCATTATTGTTTGACGCTGGCAATGTTTCGTTTCTTTCAGCACTTCACTACAAAGAGCTTCCAATTATTTGTGAGAGGTTTATTGTTTTGATTTACAATGAAGTTACCAATCATTTCTGTCCTTGTTCTTTGACTTGTCTTTGAAAGTCTCTTTAGAGGACGGTCGACTTCTTTCTCCCCAGCCAGGGTCTGGATTCTTCTCCATACTTGCTCTTGACATACTTGAAGTTCTCCTTTCTAGTGGCCTGAGATATGAGAGACACGGAAGCAGGAAATATTGTCCCCTCCTAGGTTTCTAAGCCCTCTGATTGGGAAAGTGTCAGTGGGCGTGAATCGCACACATGCGGTGAACTGAGTACCTACCTGCCTGCTCTGTTATCAATGTTCATTTACTCCATTGGCATGGACGAACTTCCTTGCTGCATTCCCTCTTTGTGTTTGTGTCAATGTGTCTATCATCTATGACCCGCCATAATTGCATCGAAGTCCTCAAGATAGGACTTCATTCGGCTGATATGTGCTTCCTCGATCCCGGCCGCAGTTATGTTTTGGAGTTTGCATTGACTCTGAGAGGTATTCTGGTGTTCGGTATATTCGGCGGTGCGTCTCTTAGGGCAGTCTTCTGATCGAGAGACAGTAGAAGGATGGTTCGAGTAAAGGTGACTGGCTTTCTTGCAGTATTTGGAGTCGGCAGAGCTATTTCGGGTCTATTTAGCGCCGTTCAAGGAACGTGGAAGTGTTGGATGAACCTCTTGGCAGATCCATTGCTTGCGCATGACGAAGATCCATACGAAGACATTTTAAGTAAGATGGTAAAGGTACAAATAAGTCAAGTGACGAAGCACGTGATGAGTTGTTGACTTCTTGAGGACAGCAGGGAGAAACATGTATTTGAAAGGGAGCTAAAATTTTCTTGAGGTTTTGAACTTGGGGGGCATGAAGCTACTTATGTTCATTATAGAATTGGGTAGGCAGTTGGGCAGATTTCTTCTCCATGGTTCCGACTGATGTAACTGATCGACGAAAGCTCAACCTCCTCACGCATGCGCGCGGAGCTGCGCTCGACACGCACGCTAGCTGGAGGCGAGTTCTGGCTGCATGGACGTTGCACGCAAGTGCGTGGCTCGCATCATTCCCTGGCGTCCTGTGGCTGGTGGCTGACTGTGCTGAACGGGCACCGACACATCACATTTCGCATCTCGTATTCTGTGTTAAATAGGGCTGTTGGGTCGACCCCATCGCAATTACACACCCATTAGCAATCATTCTGAGGTACCGCTTCTCAACGTACCCCGCCAAAATACCAACCTGAAACCGATTATTCATCCTCCAGCCACAGCCGCGGAACAAACTTGCAGCCTTGTCCCCTCCCCCAAAACTCGGCTTTACGCTTACGATAGTTAAAGATTGATGACACACCCTCTTATCTCAGCCGCCCATTTAGCAAAAGATGTCGAATTGAGAACAGACGGCTGAGGTAGTAATAGTAAATACAATTTGGTTGAACCTGAATTTTGTTAAATCCAACAACGACCTCAACAAAACGCTAGCCTGGGAGGAGGAAGTCAGCTGGTACAATGTTGAGCGACGCCTTACCAACGCACAGGAATCAAGGCAGTCTGCGTGATCAAACACGAAACACTGGCCCAGTGTGTAGAAAACTCGGCTGCTGTGGCTTTTGACGTGCGCAGCGCGAGAGGCCGAGAATCATCATCCCACAAAAGGATGAGTCTATAACTGCATGGTCATTGGGTATAGTAAGCGCTTTCCATCGACAGGTCGGTGGAGAGCTGGAGGCGGGCCAGGGAACTCCCGCTCGCCAAACCGCAGGGTCCAGGTATTGGATCTTTTTCAGCCTCCGCATTCGTGGCCTCCAGCTGCGCACGTTTCCAAGTAATCACGGCCGAATACGACCGCGGCGGCGGGGAATGCCGGCAAGCCGAGACACTCCGGCTGGCCCAGCCTTCATGTCAGCATTCAAGATATCAGCAAATATGCACCATCCTTACATCAATATTTTGGTTCACCGGCATCGACCACTTTTCATCAGACCTCAGTTCTGAATTTTCTCTCATGAAACGGTCAGACGCGTTTAAAGTGGCGAGCGGCGAAGTGGCGTAAATGACTCAAAACGCCCACCTCCAGGACTCTGCAGATAGCGGGCAACCACGACGAAAGGTGATTTCTATCCAATGAGGCTGAGATGATAAGAAAGGTCGATAAGAGCCGCGAAATATTACCTCGGCCTTTGAAATAAGGGGCGGCTGGCCTTTGTCTGTCCAGTAGGCCTGTTTAGTTTCTTACGACGAGTCTAGCTGGCGCTCAGCGGAACGGTTGATGCCGCAACTTCACCTGGTGGTCAAAGTACAGAGCTGGAATCTGAGCACATAGGTAGAAGTGATGAAACCCAATTCCGGCAGGGTGTTGGGCGTAATTTTGAGCGGTATCTGCCGCATCATTGCAGGTGTGGGACTTTTGCACCTCGATTAGGAACCACCTCAAGCGCGTATCAGATGAAGAGGCTTGCTTCTGTAACAACTAAATTGCTGGACATATATTGTTCTGAAGTTGAAATGAAAAAGGGTGGTACAATAGCTATGATGTTCAGGCATATTATCTACTGTTTTGGGATAGGCGGGCAAATCGACACTTGGATCACGTGACGTACCCCTTTACCCCTATCCAGCTCGGCAATCAATTCACTGGGTTATTCGCCGACGAAGCAATAGGCCTAGAGCAACATGAGTTTGATAACAAACGGGTAATGTCAGGCATGTGCGAGAGTGGGAGGTCCATCCCCAGCTGCGGACAAATTGTTATATTCGCCGCGGTTGGCTGCATCCGTGACGAAGGAGCCCGTTTCGAGCATCCCTTGAAGTATGCACTATCTCGTGCTGTTCAGAAGGTCGTTCAAATGCAAGTTAACTTCCCAAGACCTGGTAATCGTTGGAAGCTGTGGGGTAAACAGCGCTACTAGTCGGTGCTGGATAGATTATAGGAATGTTCTGGATCTTGTATTATTAGTCGGAATAGTAAATATCGTCTGTTGCCGTGTTTGATATATATAATATTAGTGTAAGGATTGGGTCTTGCTCCCACAACATCCATATAGACTCATTCTCAGTTTGTTGACAACAAATCTAAGAGATTTTTCCGCCAGAGCATAAATCCAACATTTTGAGCGATTTCTGACAATTCACTCGCGCAAAGATTGGAACTTGTTGTTAAAGACTTTAGAACTAATGAATTCACTATATTATTTAATGATCTTGCTGAACCTATGTATATTTCTTGAATAAAAGGTTCTACCCTATAATAATAACTTTCAGAAATTTACCCCACGCCATTTCTTTAGCCTTGTTGTTAAAACAACACCAACATGGGTGATCCGATAGAACAACCGTCTCATATCCGAGAGCAATACTAATCGTTGTAGCTGCGAGTCGAGCCTGCCAGTTTTTGTGAGCCCGCACAATGCTCATAGGTGTTTCTGGGGCATCAATCAGACCGAACCAATTATCGATCGCCGTGAAATTGTGTGGCGCAACCACGTTGTTATGGTTATGGTCTTGACAGTCGCTCATTTTCCGGAGCCTCACATTGTCGATAGTGTTGAAGATATCCAAATCTGCAATCCATTCACCGCCATCCCTTAGCGAAATAAGTGTCTCCAGCAAATAGACATCCACGTCCTGTCCACCTGAGAAGCCCAGATTTATAGGAGTATTTGCTCCAGTGAAAGAGAGATGTAGCGATGTGCTCTCAAAACAGTCGCGCATATCCCCATCAAATTCATCCCGGTCAATTCGAGACCATTCAGCCATCTTCACTTCCCGTATCATGGGATCAACAGGTGGTATAAGGAAAGCCATACCAGGCCTGCCTATATTGCCTAAAACACGCCGTATATCCCCAGAATATGCCAGCTCTTGTGGATCCAGCAGCAAGGCACCTCCAATGTAAATCGAGTCAATGGATGACATGGCGATAACATTCTCGAGCAAGCTCGGATCAATATCATAGATGCCAGACTCAAACATGGCGATACATGCGAACGCTGTTGAGCGTTCCAAATGGTAAGGCTCCAGAGAAGAGGGTATTCTGTCCATATCTTGTTCGGGGGGGGCATCATAACACTCTTTTACCCAAGCTGCTTTCCAGATCGGTTGCTGCAAAATTCGAACATCAACAGACGTATTCGGAAATTTCCGGTACATTGCTGCAGCAGTTGATACTGCTTTGAGGGCTTTGAGGTGAGGATCCACTGCCGCATTGGCATTGTGGAATGTTCGTAGCAGTTGGTTCGAAATTGCAGTAGCATCAATCTTTCCTGCTTCGAATAGACTAGAAAAGTCTGCGGCTTCCGTACCGTTAGACCGTATAAGAGCCAGCATGTTTCCTCTGCCCTCGACAACAAACAATCCTGCTGAGTTTTCATCTCCATATATTAATCGATACCAAGGTGTTTGTCCCTGATTTCCACCCACGCAACCCATATTATCCCAGAATACGCCCATTCTCATAGAATCAAAGTCTTCAATGAGCTCGCTTTCTCGATCAATTGTATGTTCTCCAAGTGATGCATAGAAGCGTTTCCGGTTTTCAAATTCCTGACAAATTGATTGCCCTTCCTCTTCGGTAAAGATGTTGCGATCGGTTCCGGGCCGCACTGAGCTATTTTTACTTTTGTGGAACTCCCAGAAATCTCCCGGTATACGTTGGAGATCGCCAGTCTCAGGAAAAGTCGCATCTAATCTGTCGTAGTACCTTCGATCAGTTCCTCTCCTCAGTAAACTTCCCCCCCTATACAACCACCGCGTATGACCGTCGGCTCCGGATTTGCTTTCGTCGAACTTTCGTTTTGGTGTGGCTCGGTGCCATGGTAAAGCGGTAGTGTACTCATACACATGTTTTGACCATTTAGGATAGTGACGCTTGTAGCGGATGAATATTTGGGTAGGATCAAGGCTCATGCCACCAGCGATATTCAGGGCCACCATTCTTAGGAAGTGTATCTTGTCGTCATCTGCAGTGATTAGATTAACATAACTCCCTCTCTGACCAACCCTAGATAACAGCATAGAAGACTCAGAAGATATTCCTGCAACGATATCTGTAGGTCTTGCTTCAGGTTTGTGTGTAGATGGATTGCCCTGAGAGTTGTCAGGGCGAACTGTGCTTGGAACACCTAGCAATCCAAATAAGGGTTCAGCTGGCCGATCCAAGAACCGCTTCCCATGCTTTCGACCCAGGAGGATGAGTTTATTCGCCGTTTTGCGTTCATTTCCCTGTGACTCGAGGTATTGTCTTGCAGCTGCAAGTAGTAGGGAAAACCAAGAGAGAGCAGCATCTCCTTCTAAAAGAATGCAGGCAGAGCGTCCTCCGGCTGACCGAGACTTCTCAAGAAGCCTGCCGACATTATTAAGCCAGGTGACGGCTTGAAGGGTGTTGTTGCCGGCTTCGCCCCACCCTTGTAAAACACAGCCAAATGTAGCTAGAAGTAGCTCGCCGGTAGAAATTCTCGATCGCTCATTACTGTCAATTGATCTCAAAGAAACGACTGGAACTCCATAGTGCCGCAGGTGTGCAAGTGGAAGAGACCAATGGACGCCCCTATCTTGAGTATTCGGATTGACCAGTCCAATGGTTAACACCCCGCCATGGGCGAAAATGGGATCACGCTGGCGGACTGGCGTTGGACGAGGAGCAACAACCATCAAGTCGGGGAATAGATGCCATGCCGAAAGTCCTAGAATGATGTCGCCGCCTTGAGCTTCTTGAGATACGCCGTTGATCAAACCCTCCATCTGAATCAAAGCATTTTTCCATGCGCTTATTACGCTACTGTATGTCTCTGGTATCTTGTTAACGGAAGTTTGAACGTTTTCCAAAATCAGCATGAGCTGTTTCTGTTGTCGGCATTTCTCAGTATCGGCTACCCCGAGCCAAGCACGAGCACTTGCATCCCATTCAGAGATTTGACTTCGGGTCAGCTCTTGTTTTGCAGCAGCCAAACTAGCCATGTCGCTAATGTTATTCTGTTCGAAGTCATCGTTGATCTCTTTCTTCCGTTTCTCCGTTATCTCTACCCAAATCGAGGTTGCTTCGGGCGCTTCCCAAATCTTTGCCAACATACAAGCAAGTAAGTGAACCGCAATTGCGCTACTCCCTGATGTTGCCGCAGCCCACAAGCTAGTTGCATCCGCTCCAACTCGGCTGGCGAAGACCCCATAGGCCGCCCGGGCCTCCGCGTCAATAGAGGAAGCCTTGGAGATCTCTGAGGCCCGCTGGCCATATGCCTTAATGAGTTTTGGAGTAGTTGGGAGCACCTTCTCGAAAAGTGCTCCCAATTTCCGAGCAGTTCGGTGTGCGCAGCCATTCTCTGCCTCGTTCCTTCGAAAAGTGGTCAGCGCAGCGCCAACACCTTCGAACTCCTTTGGTGGCGCCACTTTCCACAGCGAGAAGTCGAAATTGATGTTTGCAAGTGCGGGCTGTATCTCTAGTGCGCCATTCACAGCAGATACAGCTAATTTGTTGAATGACATTGGTCCGTTTTTGGAAGGAGGGCCACTGATGAGATGTGTGTCGTAGAAATTTGTCACGGGTCCAGTAGATTTTGACTGAGAATGTCGGTGAATGCGTGCGTTTTATCGAAAAATCTTGAAAAATGTCAGCTAAGACCTTTCTCTTTCTCAAACAACAAAGTATACGTCGCAGCTTCCACTTGAACCTGAATGATTTCTTTCCGTAGAATGATGCAAAGTACTTGAATTGATTGCGACCGCAATGTCTCTCAGCCTCGTGTTCGGGAAGGGAATTGGATTTTGGTGCCAGTTGTGGAGTATTGTGCCCGAGTCAGATTCAACACCTAATCTTGCAACTAGTGCTCAACTGTGAAAATCAAAGTATGACACAGCTATATGGGATTCCTCGTCGGAGCATAAAGAAGTGTCATTTTCAGCTCACCGAAATTAACGTTGGCTGGGTGACACAAGCTCTGCATGCATAGCCCCACTAAGCCTCCCTACCCTAGGCCCAGATAGGGGAATCTTTTTGCTTCTTCTTCAGTCACTTGATACCATTGCGTTATGTTGATTCGTGCGAGACTCCTAGGAGAAGAAGTCCGCTCTCAGGGATCCAATTTGAGCACTTTCCAACAAATACAGGGGCATCTTCTCAGTCCAAGTATGGGACGGGCTGGGGGTTTTGTGCTATGGGCATCATGTGACTTTGCGGGTAGTATGGGAGAAACGCAACTTTCTCAGCAAGCTTTAATGGCTTCAAGGATTATATGGCACTTTTTGCTTAGCAAAGCCTGCTAGATATCAGAATTGTCGCTCATGCGAGGTTTCCATGCGACGCTAAACCATTACGCGGTCTAGGCAGTCTGAAAACTGTTCCATGCCGCTTGAAACCTTGATTTTCAAAACATCTGACCAAAGAGATTTGTTGCATCTCCAGACACTCTATGAGTCAACTGAAACGCTTCTAGGCGGACAAGATCTTCCATCTGGATTTCTGTAATTGTGTGTCACGTGATAACAAACCCGGAAGATGGGTAGCGCAAAGCCCCAATCGCGGTGGTGGCGCTAAATCAGGGAATGCCGATACGCTAGTGTCGATCCACTCACGAGCCGAGGATGAAATTACCCGTACGCGACTCGAAAGCAGCTGAATGCGCCATCTTTTTCAACCCCTTTCCGCGCACATTTGAACAACCTCACTCTCGCCACGGTTCACAACCTTCAATGACACGTTGCAAGTACGCATGTATACATGACCGTTCCTCACGCATCTGAATCGTGCGCATATCATCGTTGCGCCATCACCTCCAGGCCGCTCATGCGTCGTCATGTCTTTCGCGCGTGAAAAGTTGGAAATGACAGAGCCACCAGGCAGGTCAATCTCGAGGCACGCCTACCACGCAGCAAGATGGACCTTAGATATCCTTCGCCCTTCATTCTTCACTAAGTCGCCGCGAAAAGAGCTTCACGCTACCGCATGGCTCGACGGTCTTCGAGGTTTTGCTGCCTTCCTGGTCTACTGGCAACACCACCAAGGTTGGGCTCGCGTTGGTAACACTGCGAGCGATGCCATGGAGACCGCATTCGGTTACAATGGTCAATACTACTTCGCTCAATTACCAGGGATACGTCTCCTTTTCACGGGCGGCCACATCGCAGTCTCTTGTTTTTTCATCATTTCAGGTCACGTGCTATCAGCAAAACCATTGACGCTGATACACGCCGGCGAGTTCGTAAAACTAGAAGATAATCTAGCAGGTGCAATGTTCAGAAGATGGCCTCGGCTTTTTCTCCCAGCTCTCTTTACAACGCTACTCTATGCGACTTCCTGGCACGTCTTCGGATTCTGGACAGCATTTCCGGAGCATCAAAAGACCTATGTGGAGGAAGTGATTGAGTGGTACAAGCAGTTCAAGGGCTTTAGCTGGGTGTTCAGGACTGATGAGAAGCTTTGGCTGAGGTACAACTTCCATCTCTGGTCAATCGCGGTCGAGATGCGAGGCTCCGTGATCATCTTCACTGCGCTACTGGCATTCTCCCGATTCAAAAGGAACACCCGGTTGTTATGCGAAGTGGTACTTACCTTCTACTTTCTATTCATCGTGGATGGGATGCTTTACGCTATGTTCTGTGGTGGTATGCTTCTCTGCGACTTGGACAACCTCGCCCGGAAAGACGACCTCCCATCATTTTTCTTCAATTTCAAGCCCTACAAAAAGTCTATCTTTTGGACCCTCTTCTTCAGCGGCATTTATCTCGGTGGTGTACCAAGTATCGATTTCCACACTAGCATCTCACTCTTGGAGGAATCGCCCGGTTGGAAATGGCTCGCGAAGCTCAAGCCCACATCCGTCTCTGAATCAGACTACAAATGGTTCTACCTCTTCTGGGGCGCCATCTTCCTCTTGTCTTCCATTCCGCGCATCCCCATCCTAAAATCCTTCTTCGAAACCCGCTTCAACCAATACCTAGGCCGGCTCTCCTTCTCACTCTACCTAATCCACGGTCCCGTTCTCTGGACGCTCGGTGACCGTCTCTATTTGGCCGCTGGTTGGGCGAGGGAAGTTAACGTAGACCCAGTAAGGGATTGGATTGGGATCTTCCCGCTTTCAAAAGCGGGACCGTTGGGGCTAGAGTTTGGGTTCTGGGTGCCGCATTTGATTATTCTGCCGTTTACGCTGTGGGTGGCAGAGGTGTCGACGAGGCTGTTTGATAGGCCTAGCAACCAGTTCGCGAGGTGGACGTACAGCAAGTTTTTGGCGCAGCATTATAAATAATCATTAGTGGGCTCATGGTGGGTTCTGTTTATAGCTGCATTTGTACAGATGCTCTTTAAACACAGTGACTGGCTCTCAATTTTTTCATATCAGCCCTCCAATCTGATTCAATGAGAAGCTAGACGCTGGGTCCAGCTATAAGAACAACAACACCCCGACATTCATCTCTTGTCCATCCACCTTCGCCATGCCCTAACAGTATTGCACCATTGGGTAGGAAGATCAGAATCGAGACTCCGTGAGGTGGTAGCAGACACTAATTGGAATCCCTTTCTTCCCACTAATATCTACCCCTTGGATCGAATTTGAGATGTTATACGAAAGACTTTGCCCGAGCTGACCCTCTTCATCAACCATTTGCACTGCAGCTCGTATGCAAGAATGATTCGGCAAACAAGAACGGACGCCACAAATTTACCGAAAACGCTCAAGACATCCGTTTATCCTACTCTCAAAGTTTAGCTCATGAGCTTGTAACATGATTGATAAGGTGGTACTAGCCTATAAAAGTAAGAGAAGAAAGGAGTGCAGTCCCCCACATGATGTGAGCCACAGTGGCAACGAAAATTAACCTCGAAATAGGTAAAAGCTAATAGTTCTCATATCTCTCGGAGACTGCATGCGTTGTATGAGTCGCGCAGGGAGAGAACTCATTCCGTACCACCTCTCGAGCCAAGCCTGCGTGTTTTGGAAGAAAATGCCACCCTTTGCTTCAACCCCGATATACGTCGTCTTCGAGCGAATCGCGAAAGCAAGTATACCACACAAATGGACAGCTGCTGCTAATGCAGCCCAAAAAAAACATCTGGAACCTAGTAAACCCACAGCCAATCCTTACGAGGGTCTTCTGTCCGAGTTGCCAGCCAAGACTCCACACGTTGGCGATAGCTGCTCCTACTTCCAAGTATTCTAGCAGAATAATCAAGATGATTTGGAGGTTGTATAGTGTATTAATTCAATAAGTCTCGTATGCAGAATAGCCACTGAGTCGTAATACTCAAATGTTCGGACGGGGTTGACGGCTGGTGCTCCGATACTCAAATGGCATGCAAGGAGTTGGCCTCTTGAAGGTAGAAGTAGAAGAGGCAATTCTGGGGTACTCGACCCTAGCTATGCTAAAATAGTTGGAAGCAGGCCGAGGACGACGTTTGCACTAGCCATATCCTACTTGAATGACTCGAGAGTATTAGAAAGGACGCAGTCGACAACCAGATAGTAAGTTGCATAAGTCTATAATGGAGAACCGGGAGTATTCAGATAACGATGAAACACCGGAGAATCATTGTTGGCGATGACTGTTGCAGCGAGAATTCGACTTCACAATCAAGATCATGAACATGTTCACTTCTCGATAGAGAACCGTTCTCTGGGTAGGTCCCTGCCTGACTAACTGGGGCGGCGATAAGCACATCATGAGTTTATTAGAGCAACATTCTTGAGGGAGTACATGCTCGCTACCGGGGAAGCTTCTCCATCATCTAACGGAAGTATCAGGTAATCCTTTTTCAAGTGGCGTTCTCAACTCTTCTGACTTCTCAAACAGAGAGATAATACCCTGGTAACTTGCTTTAGAGCATCTCGATTCCCTTCGAACCCTATTTCCTTTAGGACATGACTCTATCAAAGCCTTACGGCCTCTTGAATCACAGGATGCCATCGACTTCGATTACCCAGTATATGGGCGAATGGAGTATCGGCGAGAGGATGAAAGCAATATTCCCGATCGTTACTTGGGCACTCACCTACTTGATCTCTATAATGAGCTGAGGGAGGCGAGGCCACGTGGAATCTCCCAGTGGGTTCAAGCGAGGGCCAAAGAAAGGCATTTCATGATAGTCACCATTGCCGGCGCACTTTCTGCTGTGCTCGCTTTAGCACTCGCAATGGTTCAAGCCTGGGTTTATTGTCAACAATGGAAACACCCTGTAAATATTTCAAGCGCATCAGCTGAAGTCCAGATTGAAAAGGAAATACGAAATTGTACGTTGATTTGGCTTCACTGCTTCACTTCCTGAACCACAACTACGGCCAGCAGCGAGCCCCTATCCCATCCAGGACACAATCAGAAAGTATGACTCACAAGACTTTACGCAAGGATCAACGAGTGCCAAGTCGTTGTCCGTAGTACCATGGGCACAACGTGGTCGGCATTCAAAGCCGCTGCTCTTAAGATCGACCATGGGTCAGAACGTCTAGCCCTGGATCTCCGGAAGCCGAAAGAATCCATTGAAGGAGCTTACTTAAGAAGAATGGAGGTGCCTGCTTGGCTCCTCGAAGAATTAATAAGAGCACGAATTAGAAAATCTTTTTCCTGATAAATTGTGCGCTTACCAGGTCGAAAGGGGGTAGATCCGGCTTATGCGGAGTGGTTATTAATCCAAAAAAAGACCCCGCTATCGACCCTCCACGACCTGGATTTGTCAGTATCTCGTGCCGTGACTCAACTAACTTTCACGTTCTTATCTCACTTGGTCTCCTTCCTCCTTTTCACTTCCTCCCCTCCAAGTCACATCAGTTGAAGCAATTCCCAAAGATGTCACGCACACAAACCTACACACTCGCGCACACAGCGCGATGCAAGCTCCAGCTCGCCGCCGACCATCCAGACCGCAATCTCCGCTTTATTCTCGGGCACGCCTTTACCCTTGATAACCTCCGGCTCCGCATCGCTGAAATCGAAACAGACACTTCAGCAGACCTGTCCGACTCGGATGACGATGAAGATCTCCCAACTTGCAGCGCGAACGTGGGGCGTGTGGAAAAGCCAAGGAGAGTCAGTTTTCGGAGTGGAAGCCCGCGACCTCAGACAGTGGGGTTAAGGCCGAAAAGCCCACCCCCTGACGAGTTGGCGCAGCTTTCGAGTGAGGAGAGTGAGGAGGAAGATGATGTGGAAGAAGACGATGAGTTTGGAGAGGAGCTTTCACTACAGCGATTTGAGAGCGCGACGGCTAAGGCGCCACGGATGGTGGAGGATGATGGAGAGGATGACGATGAGGGGGATTTGGGACCGAAGAGCCCAGAGATGTTGCCGAGTGAGGCGGACTTGAAGATTATTACGGGGCAGGAGGAGAGTGAAGAGTTGGAGGAGGCGTACAGGAGGGTTAGTGGGTGTCCTTGTCATGGGAAGAGTGGGCCGCATGTGGAAAAGATTTGGGAGATCCCAGGGCAGAAGGGGGGGAATGGTGGGAGAATGGTAGTTGTGCAAGTTGTTGCTTGATTTCGCAGATGGATTGGAAAATCAGCTGAGCCCATTGCTCTGGAGTTGGGACTGGTCTCACTACTGAGGCCATTAGCGGGCTAGCGGACAAATCCGAGAAGCGAAAAGTGATTTTCTGATTTTCTGATTTTCGCGCCCACACCCCCCCCCACCACACCTCACTAAAAAAAAAGTATAGCATACACGCCTTATTCTCGACTACTCCTAACCCCCCCTTAGCTTGCGTGGTCCGTAAGGCAAATCCCATAGATTACGAGGCATATCTCTATCTCCCTCACTCTCTGTATCCTCTATACTACCTATATTACTCGAATTATCTATATCTCCTTTATCCCCTTCTCCTCTAGTATCCTTACCCTCCTCTACTGCAACCTCCTTCCCTATTGCCTTCTGACCTTATATCTGTCTTTATACTTGCTTTCTATATCTTATAGGCAGTCGAGGCTTTAGTATAAAGGGTTTTGCAGATACGGAGCGAGGGTTTCTAGACTTAGTAAGATTAGTATTAAGTTAATAGAAAGTATAGACTTTACTATTATTATTATATCTATAATTTATATAAGTACTATTAAATTTGCCTTCTATAACTATATAGTATTTAAAAGGGCCCCTTGGTCTTTTCTTATTACTATAAGTAATATAAGCTTAAGAGAATTCGGTTCTATAAATATATACTAAGCTTGCCTCCAGATTTGCCTTGCCTTTCTCTAATTTCTTTAGCTTCCTGCCCTAATATAGCTCTATCTCTCTAACTTTAGCCTTATTATTAATTCGCTTTACTATTTTAGTAATATTATTAAGTAATATAAGGAAATTAAAGTATTATTATAAAAGAGGAAAAGGAAGTTATATATAAAGAGAAGATTAAGAAATAGAAAGGTTTATTAGTTAAATATATTAATAAGAAAGAATATTATAGATTAAGTCTAAATTATTAGAAAATATATTATAAATATTATCTTTTTACTTATTTATAGCTTTATTACCTTTTCTACTACTTTTGCCTTTACTAGAGCTATTATCTAAAGCTATATTTAATATATCTTTAATAAAGAAAAGCTTTAATAATAGTATTATATATTAGAATTAAAGTTATTTTCGGAAAAAGGTTAAAATTAAGATTAAAACTAAGATTAAAGCTAGTATAGCTATATTTTTATTATTTACTTTTAGGATATAAAAATATATATTTAATATAATTATTTAAATCTAAATAAATTTATAATAAATAATACCTAAAAATAGAAATATTAATATTTAATAATTCTAGATTAAGTATATTTAAATATTAAAAAAATTATAATTTTAGGTATTATAATTATAAAGATAAAAATATAAATATTCTTTTTTTTACTAATTTATAAAAGCTAAGATATACTAATAATAATTAAACTATATTTAACCTATATAGTTAGCTAATTTACTTTACTAATTATAAATAATTTAAGGTAATTTAAATTTCCTTAAATCTTTATATATAGCTTATTATATAAACTTCTATATTTTTATATTTAGTAATACTATAATTATAATTTTTAAATAAGAAGAATTCTCTTATTCTAATATATATAATTATATTTATTTCTTATTTTTCAAATATATAATTATTAAATTAGAGAGGCTCAAGAATTCTAAGTAATACTTTTTCCTAAAAGATATATATTCTTAATAAATAATAAAAGTAAATATAGAATTATATAATAATATAATTACCTTATATTAGTAACTTTATTCTATTTTTACTTTAAAACCTTTATTCTTCTTCTATATTTTTTTGACTTTACTATTAATACTAAGAGCTTCTATTCTTTACTAATACCTTCTTTATTAATACCTTTATTAATACCTTTATTAATATTAAGAGCTAGTATCTAACTACCTTATAATCTTTCTTTTCTTTTCCTTATTTCTCCTTATTCTTTTTCCTTATTTCTCTTCTAAACTCCTTTTCTAAATCCCTCTTCTTTTAATACTTCTTCTATTAATACTAAGAGCTAGTATCTAATTACCTTATAACTTTTCTTTTCTTTTTTAAACCCCTCTAAATCCCTCCTCTAAATCCTTTCTCTAAATCCTTCTTTCTTTAATACTTCTACTAATAATATTAAAAGCTAGTACCTAATTACTACTTCCGGGTTACTTTTATCTAGAACTTCTATATTATAAGTCTTTAATTTACTTACTTTTTAGAAAGCTAAATTTTAGATCCCTTCTTTTCTTTTCTAATATCTTCTTCTTTTCTTTTTTAATATCTCTTATATTTTCGGGCTTTTTAGAAGTACTTTTTCTCGAATTTCCAAAAAAGAGGCTAATTCTTATTTAGATTTCTCTGAACTTTAATACTTTCTTTCTTTCTTTAATACTTATAAAAGCCTTTAGGCTATTACTAAGTACCCCTATTCTTTATTTTAAAATATATACTAACTTATTCTTATAAGAAATAGTTTTTCTTTCTTTAATCTTAATTTCTTTAATATATACTTCTTGCCTTTAGATTATTTAGATATCTTCCTATTTACTTTTATAAAATATATACTAATTTACTTTTTAGTTCTTCTCGCCTTACTTTTCCTTTAATATTATTATATATATACCTAGTTAGTACTAGTTCTTATGACTTATAATTAGGCTTTCTATTTATTAAATACCCGAATATTTTATTTTACTTTTACTTTATATATTTTATTTTATATATGTCGTATATACGGGTACTAGGGAGCTTAGCTTCGCTTACTCAGCGGCCCCTTTTATTTAGCTAGATCCAGAGGCTCCCTTTAGAGCTTCTTTTAATCAGACAACCACTTATGCAAATCACTGTTCCTTGCTATTTTGCGATAATATACTTTACTTTCCTTTTATTATAGATTAGAACTTAAATAGTATTTACCTTAAGTACTTATATTCTCGGATATATAAGACTCTTATAGATTTTTCGGGATTATAAACCAGCTTACTTTAGTTCGGAAAAGCTTTCTTAAAAGTATTTCAGAAATTATAATATTTACTATAATCTCTCCTAAAAATTAATATAATATAAGTATTTCTAGTTCATTTTCTCTTTATAAAGCAAACTACTATCCTAAGTTTATGTAAAAGTTCTAATTATTTCTTAAATTAAAATATAAGTATTTCTTATTTCTATTAAATTAGATATAAAAGATAATAGGCGCCTTTAGGCTAGACTATAATACTAGTTAAATACTAAGACTCTCTATATCTATTTTACAAACTTATAATTCAAGATATATTATATTTAATAGGGCTTTTATATCTAATTACTTTATATTATAGTAAAATATCTTAGTATTATAATTAGAGAAGTTCTACTTTATAATCTTATCTATTACTTATAGATTTTCTAGCTAATAAGTCTTGGCTAATAGCTAAGAAACTTATTAGCTACTTTATCTAAAGCCTCTAGAAACAGGAAATTACTTTAATAAAAACTTAGTATTAAAAATAGATTTAACTAATTAATTTAAATAAGAAGTTTATAATAGAAATCTCTATATATAAGTAATTCTATATAATAAACTCAAGTCTCTATTCCTAGTTATATAAGTAAGCCATATAAGAAACTCTTTCTAGCCTATTAGAGTAGTTCTTATCTCTAGTTATATAAGTTATAATATATAATAAACTCAAACTTTTCTTAGGTTATTTTTAGAAAAATTAGTAAGCTTTTCTAAATAAACTTATTAAGGCCTTAGTTTTTAAAAGTATTAGTCTAGTTTTCTTACTTCTTTCTTAGGTAATAGTTTAGCTCTTAGGAATTATATATAAATATTAGAATAAATAAGGAAATATACTATATATACTTTCTAAATAAATTAGGATAAAACCTATAGAATTCCTATAATATTTTTATTAAATCTATAATACTAGCTAGTAAAAACTTTAATAATCTTAATAAGACTTAAATTATAAACCCGGCCTTTAGATTTCCCGCTTAACTTAAAAATTAAATAATTTATAATAAGTTACCTATTATAGAATATATTATATTCTTTTTCTAAAAAGTACTAGATACTAGTAATAGTCCGGAAGCCCCAAAGCCCTTGAGACTCTTTATAAGTTTCGGGCTTTAGGGCTTTTCTATAGCTAGCTAATTATATAAAGTTATATAACTATATGAGTCCGGTATTAATATAAAGTAATTAGTAATTTTATATATAAATATAGTATGATTTTTAGTATAGCTAATCTAATATATTATATATTTATATATAAATACTTATAATTTTATTATTATAATATAATATATTCTTAATATATCCTTAATATAAAAATTCCTTTATAATTCTAGACTTTTAGGAGCCTCCTTTATACTAAAAGTAAAGTATATAATACTATTTGGGTATTAAACTTAAAAGATAAAGAATTATAAAGGCCCTAATAATTATAAGATTTTATAAACTTAAATAGATTTAAGTATTATAAAAATATTAAATTTAGTAGCTTAACTTTTAAATTATATAAGAACTAATTAAAGAATATTACTTTAAAGTATTAATTATAAATTCCAAATATATATATATTTATAAGAAAATAAGACCCAAAATAGTACTAAGCTAATTATAAAATATAAGAAAAAGCATATTAGATATTAGGTCTATTTTTTCTTAATTATCTTAATCTTAGTAAATATTTATATATAATTTATTAGACCTTATATAATAGGTTTACTTAGGAAAAGTAAAATTAATTAGCCTAAGAAATTTAATAATAATAATTAGACTTCTATTCGGGGTAATAAGTAAAGTACTAGTAATAGCCCGGGTACCTTGGGTTTTATTTATAAAGCTAAAAATATTATACTTATTAATTCTTTATATCTAATAAGAAAAAGAAATAATATATTTATATCTCTAATATATCTATTACTATAAAGTAATACTTATATAGTTTATAAAATTAACTATAGTTTCCTTTACTAGAGAAGAAAATAATAAAATTAAAGGAAAATCTAATAGCCTATTATTATTATTATTATTATTATT